CCGATCCAATCTAATTAAAATTTGCGGTTTTTTTCAGTTTTCGGTTTTTCGGTTTATTCGGTTTTTCAGTTCGGTTACTGCGGTTTGAATCGGTTTGGATCGGTTGATGAACACCCCTACCATACAAAGATGGAAATAAATATAATCGTTAGATCAACATAATCGATCTAACGGTGAGATTGATTGGTAGTCACTTGGTAGTAACACAACTTGGTTACTACTAATTTATAATTTATTACTATTATTAATTTATTATATTATAAATTAATATTATTTTTCTGGGATATTACATTCTACCCTGCTTAAAAGAGTTTCGTCCTCTAAACTTAAAAGTTTGAGCCCCCTTAAAGACAAAGTAAGCAAGCAACCAAAATTAATGCATAACCAAGCAAACAAGATAACATAGCATTTACAAATTTAAGACAATAAAACTTTTATATATATTTCTAGGAAAAAATTACTCTCATGCTACATGTGATAAATTTCTCTTCTACACACCCTTCGATAACTGTGCCACTTTTTTCTTTTATTTTTTTATTTTTCAGGTGGTGGAGCCCACAAATTTGTCTCTATGACATGAGATAACTTATCTATTTTAGCATGAGATTAATAAAACCCATATTTTTATATAATCCTTCATTTTCTTGAAAAAAATTTTTAACCAATTCGAGGACAACTAAAAATCTTAAAAAAATCTAATTACAACACACACACATATATATATATTTCTAATTATCCATTTCACTGGTTTAGGTTATTATAGGAGTGATGCTAGTCACGCCACGTAGGCAGTTCTATTACCGTAAAATTTTGGAAGGCCATAACTTTTGACTCGAGTATCCAAATCAGATAATTTTTTTTTTGATTTCATATAATTTTTTGATATCTATGCAATGACACTTTTTTTGGTATATTTTATCCCCCACAAATATAGTTTGAATTTGCAACAATGGTACTACAATCACAAGAACGTTTAAATGCAGAAGCTCCCGAGTTCTTTCCAAACCAACACCATGAGCTGCAACACATGCAATCGATTCACACGCTTTATCTATGTGAATGATGACTCATTATGTAAAACTTATTCAACTTGTTAGAAAGTAGGTATCTGTATCCCAAAATTTTCTAATCATGACAGTGGTTTCCTCTCCATCAACACACAGACTGAAAGTAGAATTGGCCTTGAAGGCCGAAACATGCGTGAGGGAAAAACAAAATTTTTTCGCAAGTGGAACACACATGCATATCAAGATACATACTTTAAGACGTATGTCATACCTTGTTCGTGAAAACTCAAGATGATCAAGGTAGGTCTGAAGGGTTCAGACCCTCTAACGTTGATCCACACCCGCCGCGTCTAGATACAGGAACTCCTTCCAGTAAGGCCGCCGATTGATCACCACAATAAGGCTTGCTATGCGCTCAGTGTGTGATGCAGGAGGCTAGGTAAAAGTGTTTAGAAGAGTGAAGTGTTCTAAGAGAAAACCTCACAAGGGGCGCATAGATGAGTAGAGAAAGGCTTGACTTTTCACAAAAACCTAAGGAGGAACTAACTACACATTAAGCACACAAGATGAGCCTTTTAAGTTTCAAAAACAAATCAGATTTTTCTCCCAAAAATATGATCAAAGTGGCGCCCTATGGGGAGAGAATAAGTGGAGTTGTTACATTTCAAAAATTGCCAACAACATCCCAGAATATTCTCATGAGACTAAGTTCAAAACCTAGTCAGAAATCTGATCATGAATCATCATATAATCAGCTATATGGTGTGCCCCATATAGCCTAAAAGGTGACCAGATACATTTGAGTTAGTTGCATTTCAAACTTAAATCAACTCACTCAAATATTCTCCCAACAGACCGTATCTTCTGGAGCTGATTTTGATGATCAAATTTAGCCAAAATCAGCGCCCCATTATCCTTGGATTATGTCCAAAAGATCTCCTCCTGATATGTTCCAACAAGATCTCATCTTATCCTTTTGTTATGAAACAACTTTTCATAGCCAATTCAAATTCGAATTTCAAACATTTGAATTCAAACTTTCAAACACTTAAATTTTAAATTCAAATTCTAATTCTAAATTCAAATTCAAATTTCAAATTTCAAAATTCCAATTCAAAATTCAAAATTCAAAATTCAAAATTCAAAATTCAAAATTCGAATTTTAAAATTCGAATTCAAAATTCAAATTTCAAAATTCAAAATTCAAATTCAAAATTCAAAATTTAAACATTTGATAATTAATTTAACTAATTAAATTAATTAGTAATGTCTTGGACTATCCAAGCCCATTACTTTGTTCCATGCGCCCTCCACCCTATCTGTGGAGTTCCAAACTACTTCTTGGGTTAATAACAATTGTTAGGCCCAATACCTTTAATGCTAGAGCATCTAGACAATTAGGTGTTATTATGTGACCCATTAGGTCCAACATAGCCACTGACGTAAATGGGCTTGGGCCCAATAAGCCCACAACCCATCTAATGACAACACAGAGCACTAGCAATGCTTTGTTGCCCCAGAACTAGTTAGATTAATGACTTGATCATCCTATTACACATATTTGGTTGCCGTATATAATTCCTTTCGTCTCGGTTACCTTCCCATAAAACCTAGGGTAAGGAAGCGTATCAACCCCTGCGGTTTAAGGTAAGCTTTATTCGAAATAGGGAATCTTCAATATACAGACTCTAAAGGCAGATCATCTCATGATCTCTTTTACTATGCATAGATTCTCGAGTCCCTGTAAATGTCATCCTGATTTCTCAGGTTTACTGATAACCTAATCTCTCACAGAGATTTGACGAATTCCTTCAGCTTATCACCCTAGCCCTGTGTTCTTTCAGAACAAGCCCAACAGTATACCTATGAGTCTCCATGTTTCAGGCAGACGAGGTGCACAATCAAAGCATGCCTTCTAGAACACAATCTAGGTAATAACTTCTGGTCTTAGGAAAGACATACCCAAATATAAAGAGACTACTCTAATGATACTCTCTGTGAGAGTTCTTCATGGAGTCTCTTTGTGGGTCTGTTCAGTGCGAGCTGTACCCTTATAGGTCCACCCACGACTTTAGCTAAGACATCTCCATATATGTAGCTCATGAGGTCTTTACCTTGCATCCAAATACAAGTAGATAAGTCGTACTAGTCTTACCCGAGATCACTGATCCCCATTCTCAGTGTCTCAAGACTAGGAACATAAAATTAGGAATAAACATGCAGTATCCTTGAATCCTCATGATCGTGATCTCATCACAGATACTCAAGAGATACTTATTTTATTCCAAGGGGTTTATCCAGTTACTCATATAAATATTAATAGTAATATTGAGACAAAATATGAAACAAGATAAATAGTGCTTTTATTTGCGACAATATAAAAGGTCTACATATGTCCTAATCTAATCAAAAGATTGTCTCTAGGACATCCATATACTAACACAGACAACAACAGATAACAACGTTTCTTCTTATGGAAAGCCTTGTTGCTAAAAAAATCATTGGTTCAGAGGCTAACCTTGGGAAACTAGGTCAAGAAATTGATGGCACGTGCTGCAGCTCATGGTGTTGGTTCAGAAAGAACTTAGAAGCTTCTGAATTTAAACTTTTTTGTGATTGTGGAACAATTGTTGCAAATTCAAACTACGTTTGTGGGAGATAAAATATGCCAAATGAGGTGTCATTGCATAAATATTAAAAATTTATGTGAAATAAAAAAATCTAATTTAGAAACCTAAGTCAAAAGTTATGGTCTTCCGAAATTTTATGGTGATAGAACTGCCTACGTGGCTCTGATCATGACGGGACTAGTCCCGTAAGGTTTCATGACGTGTTTGACTGCATTAGTTTGAAAAAATTTATCCAATCAGCTTTATCTGGGTAATTCTTTTGCCCAATAGTCTTAGAAGAGTTCTTTAGTCTCAAATTAGGTCTGATACTTCATCATATATAAAGTGTTTTTGTAAGATAGGTAAAATAGCAATATTAATTAGAAAATCTAACACGGTTAAGGAGGGACTTGGTTGGAAAAAAGCACAAGTGATAAATAATAATAAAATAAATAAAAAGGTTAAGTAATTTAAAGGCAAATCACATAGAAATTAGGGGTGTTCGCAGTATGGATTGAATCGATTTTGGAAGCAAAAATCATTCGATCCAATCCCTTCGGTTTGATCATGTAATCATCCGTTCAGTTTGGATTATTTTTCAAATCCGATCCGATCCGATCCAATTTTTTTCAGTTTGGATTGGATTGATTTTTGATTTTTTGAAAAGCCTAAAATTTATTTCATGATTATTGTGCAAATAACATATCTTTTGCATATGTTGTCTTTGTAATTTTTTTTTTTTTTGAAATATAGAAGCATCAGTAAACAGTAATATAATTATTTTTTCGATTTTTGATTTTTCGATTTTCGATTTATTCGGTTATCGGTTTTTCAGTTCGATCACCGCAGTTTGAATCAATTTGGATCGGTTGATGAACACTCCTAATAGAAATATTTGAACTTTTCCATTTAAAAAAAAAATCACAAGTTTGATTCTTTTATCACATCAACGACTTTGGTCTTTGAGCAATGAAAATTATTTGTGGTGTGATGTTTTCGTTGATCATGTAATAAATGTGCCGTTTATGGTGGCAGGTAGGCCTTATAAACATTGCCCTTTGTTTCTATAAACTGAGGTCTTTTCTGTGGTCCTTAATGTGCCATATCTAGATACAATGTTGTCTAACCCTAAACAAGTTCCCTCTACTAATAATATTATGTCTTAACGTGCACTGAAATTTTATCTAATCTTTAGATCTACATGATTTCCTTCTAGTAGTGATAACAATGGGTTAAGTAATTATTTTCTTTACTACAGGTAATGTACATCCACACCTCCTGGCCATAAATGTGCAACATTGACATTAATAAATCAGATCATCATAACCCATTACACAGAACTTGGAAATTACCTAATTTTCAAGTATATTACATATTTGGAGACACAATTGACTTCAGAGAAGGCAGCAACTAGTAATCAATTTAATTTCTTAATGCATAATATAAAATTTCCATAAGAAGTTCATTCATGCTAGTTGAGAAATAAAATGCTTTCACAGAGTTAAGGCCAATGATGAAGTGGTTGCAAGCAGATATTTGAAAACACGAATTAGCCGGTGAATTGGCTATCTCCTGAATGTTGTGTATTAGAACATTCAAGGAGCTCCAAATTTCTGGTTTTCATCTAGTACATAAATAAACCTCGTGTCATTGTGAATTTTTTAATATGGTTTCCCTTAACAATGTCCAAACAGAAATGGTTCTGACTCAATGCTTTTAATGCCTGTAACATGCTTGAGTAATTGGTGTTGGTGGGTCTGTGAAAGAGCCATTGAGTATACGATTAGCAACCCAATGGTTAGCAGCCTCAGCATAATGAACACCATCCCAACTTACATACTCTGAAGGTTTTTCACAAGAAGTACCGTACACATCTTTCCCATTTGCGCTTCCTAAATTCCCACACCATATATGGGTGTCATTCACATGATACCCACAACAGATCTTCAATGGATCCACAAATCCTGAAAATAAAAAAAATGGTTCCCGGCATGTTAAATAGATTTACCTAAAATGACCAGTCACAGTAAAAAAAAATAATTGTCAATGTTCCTTTTTCATTTCACTCCTAACCTTTTTAGCCAATGTCTAGAAACAGACAACATTTATATAGGCACAAATTCAGATTTTGAAGAAAAAAAATGTGCTATGGACACAAAATCATGTTTGTTTATTTCTAGCTTATGTTTGTTAGCAAACATCTTGCTTAAAATCATTAAGGGCAAAACCCTATATACAAGAGCCAAAATGAGGGTCGATCACACACCGTCTAACTTTTGCATTCTTGCAAAGAGGCTGTTTCAGGACTTTATATTTGTTTATTTTGTTACCAAACATCTTTCTTAAAATCATAAATAACAAAAATATAGTGCTTCTTAGTTTTAGATGATAGGCACCTAGTAGATTAACTAAGTCATGTCAATAATGAACAAATTACCTTCATTTTTGGTATTGCTGATTAGTCCATACTTTGCAGCATAGATATCTACATAAGTAATTGCAGCCTCTGGTAGATCTGTTCTGATCTTGATCAGTCCTTCCTTAAGCTGCTTGTTGAATTCTACAGCCATATCATTTTGATCCTTGACACATCCATATTGGTCAAGATAGCCAGGTGGTAGATTATGCTTGTAAAATAGGTTCACTGGCAAGCACCCAATAGGGGCTGTGTTGTGTATCCAGAATGTCCTCCCTCCTTGTTTGTATATAATCTGCAATTAGTTTATTAATCAGATTTCAGACTCATCCCAATTAGTTAACAATGAACTTGTTATTCATAATCTTTTAAGTGTTCAAATACTCAATTACTAGTTCTTAAGCACTCATTTATTGCAACTTTGCTAGTGAACCAAGTGCTACTTACTTTGACTGCAGAGGCTAACTGGTTAACAATATCTGGGAACGATTCACGCATTTGGTTGAAGTTCATCTTTCTAAAGCCAACGGAGAGATCATTTTGACCAATATCAAATGTGTACAGAGCCTTAGAGAACTCCTCAGGCACTGGAAGCTTGCTTCTTTCAAGTGAAGTTTTGGCTAAATTTTCAAGAAACAAAGATCAACACATAAAACAAACGAAATGATAAAAGGAGTAACAAGGTTCCAGTTTGTTGAACTATAACAGAGTTCTTAGCATTTACCTTCTTGGTAGAGTTGTTTGGTGCGTGCTTTGAACTGGTCAAATTGCACAATCTGCATGTCAAGCGAAAATGGACTTATCCCATATTGAAATATGGTTTCATTCTGCCTCCTAATGGTAGATCCTCCAGTAGCAAAATTTGCACCATGCCGGTAATTGGTTCCAAGGGAATTCAGATAAGCACTTAAGTATGGCAACTTTAGCTTCTCAGCTGCACAATAGAGTATTAATAGCATAGTTAAAATTAAAAGTTCAGATTTCTCTACCGGTACATCTTGAGCTCTCCCTATTAAATTTTTAACACATATCCTGAATAAATTAGAACAACTTGTGCCAGTTAATCTATATGCTTATGATTAAAAGTTGATTCATGTGGCTGGTGATTAAAAATGTTATTTCACACATCAAACAATAAAATAAAATGAAAAAATGTATTTAAGTTGTTAGCAGCAAAATGAAAAGGCTAATATGGAAAGGCAGAGGAAGAGAAGAGGGTGTTTCAATGTTCATTACCTATGAAATCTATAATGAGACGGCCATCACTGTCTCTTCCTGCAGGTTTATGGAAGAAGCCCTCACCATATGGTGCAGGGATTGGCACAAATGCTGCTGATATGCCTCCAGTGTCTGAGTTAGAGTCACCAAAGTTGTATATTGCTGGAAAATCACATGGGGTTGAGTCTTTCAGCTCTACACTGTTCACACATAGAACACAAGATAGCAAGATCCCAACAAACAGTACCCCAAACCCCATTTTTCAAAGCTGGGTTAAACTATCTTGCTAAACTGTGAACACTCTAATGTACAGATAGAGAACCAAAAGCACAAACTTCTATGACACCGCCAAAGCCAGAAGGGACAAGGAATCTTATCTTTGGTAAATTTATGTTTTATGGAGCAGATGTTAGTAAATCCTGATCTTTGTTTTGTTCTTAGTTGTCATTAAACACACCTGTTGCAATCTGATATAGTTGCCTCGGTTATGAGAGAGAGAATATTGTAGCATGAATGGAATATTTTTATTAATTAAGATTGTTAATGTATTTTCTTCCGCTCATTATCTTAAGGTTTTAGGTTGAAATAATTTTTTATACAAGATCATGAGTTTGATTTTTTCTCCCCTCACTTTCGAGTAGAATTAAATAAACATAAGGTAAATCAAAAAAATAAAATTGAATCTTTATAATATCCACACTTTACATTAGAAAGAGTGTTATAATAATATAAATTACTAAAAAAAACCTTACCTAACACTTTAATATTTTGGGGTAAAATAATTATTTAAAAAGAGAAATGCTAGTTTCATATTTTTAATTAGCATATTAATTAATGTGATTGATAGGAAATATTAGATTATGTTGAGAAACTAGTGTGGTAGATCTAAGATTTTAAGAGCAAGGATGGAACAAAAATTCTTATTAACATTTTAAGTCATATTTATAACTCATACTACACTTATAAGAGTTATAACTTACTTACGTGTTTAATACACAATATTTTATTTTATAAGTGATTCTACATTAGTGGAATGTATCATTTTTAAGAATAAATAGATCTTATACAAAAAAAGAAAAAAAGAAAAGAATAAATAGATATATTTATTGAATAAAAAAAATGGATCATAACTCTAGAAATTATTAATTTTTAAGGATAGCGGGGTTATATTGGAAATTAAGGGGTGCTATCAGTACAGAGGATGAACATGTGACATATTAATGGTTGGAAGGACATGGACCCTACAAGTAATCAGGAATTTTCAAGAAAATCGGTGACGATGTTAGTTAACCTTTGGAGCTCTTTTGAGAAAGCACCTTTTTTTTTTTGGGTAGATTGAGAAAGCACTTTAGATTTTGCATAGATATTCTATATTTGATAATTGAAGTGGTCCACGTTGTGTCGGTTTATGCTAGAAAGCTGGACAAAGTTAAAAGGTGAGTTTGGGTTAAGAATGATGCAAGATAAATCATTTTTATGAAAATTGTATTGAGTAAATATATCATTTCGTCCAAAAATATATTACTTATGTTTTAGTTTTCATATTTCTTTATATATAAATTGATCTTTGAATGAATAAATTTATGGGAAATATACTTTTCTGTAGAAAAATTTTCTTGCAACAATCGATTTTAATTATGTACTACACGTAGTATATAGTTACAATGATAAAATTATATTATTTTTTCGTCACATCAGCCGACAATGTTTGAAAAAAGAGAAAAAAAATAATTTTATTATTATAAATATATATTATCCATGATACATAGTTATAATCATTCGCTACAGAAAATTTTATTTGCAGTAAAAAGAGAAAACACACTCTAAATTTATTGTCACATTTACAATTCTGATAAGATAATTTTATTTGCAAATTAAAAATTTTAAAAACTAAAGTCACACAATTAACATATTTTACAGGTTAAATTATATACTCATTTAAATATATTTATTTTTTTATTATCATATTGTTTTAATCCCCAATAAGTTATATTTATGTATTTTTGTAATAATTTTAGTATAATTTAACATTAAGTATGATTTTTTTTTATAACAACATTAAGTATGATTTTAATCTGTCATTAGTATGAAATAATTATTGGCATAACAAAGATAAGATTAAGTGAACACTTCATAATACACTAAAATATGTAATTATGTAATAATTGGTAGACTTGTAATGGGCATATTATTGGCATGTAAGAATGAAATGTGGAATCATTAAGTGATTAAGTATTAATGATGTAAATGATTCCTGCTCTAGGTTTGCCTAAAGAATTTGACACTTGAGGGTTTATTGGAGCATACGTATTTTACTGTTGGAGTTGGGCTTGTGGTAAGGTCAGTGAGGTAAGCTCCTAATTATAGTTGCATCCTCTCTCTTGTGGCCCTACCATAATGGTAGGCATTATGGTTGTATTGTATAAAAGTATGTGGTATGACGTATATGTGCATTCGTTCACATTCATATAGATGTTATATGATTCTTGATGTTATGATGATGCACTGATGATATATGTTATGAGAATCTTGGCCAGTGATTATGGTATGTAGGCTGCTTATGACTTGACTCTGGGAGCTATTTCATACAGAGGTTGTGTTGACTGTCTATGGCTTGACCTTGGAGTCACACATGTGTAACTGTCTACGGCTTTGACCCTGAAGTTACACAAGGATGATATGATGATGCTATGTTTATGTTGTATGTAAGAACCCACACCGTTAATTAAGGAAGTTAATTAATTAAGTATGACAAATTAGGGAATAATTCCATAATTGACCCTAATAATCATGATATGGCTTAAATAATTATGGTAAGTGTTTAATAAGGCTGAAAGTCGCTTTCTGACAAAAAATGCAGATACCGATTCTGCTACTCGGTATAAATGCGTACCGATGAAGTCCCCTGGAAAATTATAATAAGTGCATGAATATTCCTAGAATAATATATAGGACTGTGATTTCAAGTTTCAAGTTAAAATAATGAGAACTCGTGCCAGAACTGATACTGGCTATGTAAAAGCGCGTACCGGAAAGGTGCTGCAAAAAATAAAACAAAAATATGATAAATCTTAGAAAAATGGCTACGTTCAGAATCTAAAGTTTGAGATTAAAATGCTAAACGTAGCTATTTTTGCTAATACTGTGTGATTACACTTAAGTGGGCTATAAATAAGCTTGGGCACAATGCCCTAGGTCATAAACCTTCAGCCTCTACGTGAAGTTTTCTGGTCTTCAGCAGCTGCCACCTTTCTCCTCCATTGTCACCCTCTTTTCTTCACTTGAAACCTCCAAGTAGTCACCTTTGTTCATTGTTCCTTCACCAAAGTAGTGTGGGTGAGTGAGAGCAAGCTTGTGAGGGTGTAGAGTCTCACTTTCTGAGTGTGTGTGGTTGCTGTTTGGGTGACTTGAGGGGATGAGTTTTTCTTGTTGGTTGTGAGAAAACAATTTTCTTTGCACTTAAGGATTCAAAGAGCCATCTTTGAGTAGAAAGGTCCAAGCTTGTGTGGTATTTTCGTGGGCCTTGGAAGTCAGTACTGTGGGATTGTGTTGGAAGCTCCAATGAGGAGTCTTTTTCTGTGTTTGGAGCATTTGAGGTGAGCTATGATCACCTCTTTGTCATTTTGATGTTTTTAACTTGTTTAATCTATTAAAAAGAGAAACTTTAACCATTTGAGTAAAAGAATGTGTTTCTGAGTTCATAACATGGTATTGAATTTCTGTTTATGGAGACATTGGACTCCAAATCATGTTTGAACCCTTAAAAGTGGGATTATGCAGAAGTCTCTTCGAATTTCTGCATTCTGATGGAGAAGTATTCGAATACTTTTCGTGTAGTATTCGAATACTTGTCCTCTGGTAATCGAATACTCCTTGCTGGAGTATAGGGATACTTTTCTGGGAAGAAAAGTATTCGGATACCTTTGAAGAAGTATGCGAATACTGGATAGTATTCGAATACAGTGGGTTTTGGTATTCGAATACTGTGGTACTTGGATACTGGGGGGTAAAGTATTCGGATACTGTGTGGTATTCAAATACTTAAGTGAAAGTATTCGGACACTTTCTGGAGACAAGGAGTATTCGAATACTCTTCGAGTAGTATTCGAATACCTCCTGCAGAAACTACCTAAAATGACTTAAAACGAGATGAAAAGCCTTAATCACTTAATGTAACCTTGGTAAATGGTTATTGATGATTATGACTGTATAAACAGATTGTGATTGTGCTGTTTGTGGGCTTTGAGCTAGTGTGGACTCTTGGCTTGGATTGTTAGCTTGCAAGGTAAGCTTTCGTGTCCTCGGTTTGGCCATTGTTGGTTCCACCATGTCCCTTGGGGGGGATGGTTTATATGCATGATGTGTTTTCATGTATTGTTTTATTGAAATGCTATTGAGCTGTTAAGTGCAATTGCTTTATGATATGTATGTGGTGTTTCGCCTCGCCAGGAAGCCATGTGGTGGTCCTGTGGGCGGGTACAGCATGAGCGTGTACTGTGTGGGTAATAGACGTATTCCTGCACTTCTCTGATCAGTAGAATAATTATAACACACATGACATGATTATCTGCTGCATTGCACTGATTTTGGAACTTATATTGTTAAACTGCTTTGAACTTATATTGCACATGTAAGTGAGCTTGGGGTGGAAGATCCTTGAGGACCCCTTGTCTTACTGTGATTTCTGTTTAGAGATCTCACCCCACGTTTGGAGCACCTTTTTCAGGTTCAGGTAATGCGGGAGTTGAGACCTCTAGCGGCAGGAGGCCGGAGCTTAGTTGATTGATGTTTATCTGTCATTCTGATTGTGCTGAGATGCTAGATATGCCTGTTGCTATTATGTCATTAGCTTTATTATTATGTTGTTGTTGATGAGACTTGCTGGGCTTGTTTCCTTATTTGGTGAGCATGGGGATTGTCCATGCCACATTGATTGACTATGTCTTATCTTAGATCTGAGTTGTATTAATGTATCAGGATTATGGTCCGGTCTACGTGTTGTAGTTCCGTGACTTAGATACTCACTTATAATTATATATTGAGGTTATTCAGTGTAGATAGCTGTTTATTTGCAATTACATACATGCGATGTTTTAAGAAAATAATTAAGTAATCAACTTGGTAATATCAATGACATCATAATTGAAAGTAAAAAGTTATTCCACATTTTAAATTAAGCGTGGCTTAATACGATGACATGTTAACAAACCGAGTATACACGGGGTGTTACATTGTATGCTTGTATTATATGCTTTATATCTGACTTATCATGCAGGAAGTGGGTTCAGGGGATTAGAGGATCCTCTATGTACTGAGATGTGTTATCTTACCCCGT